TAAACAAACAAGCTCTTAGGAAACCATTTTCAGCAATAATACAAGTACAAAGTTAAGACGTGTATCTAACCACCCGTAAATTACATATTGTAACGATTTCTTTACATCTTTCATCATGATACAATTCCATCCAAAAAAAAAAGGCCCCATGTATCCATCCCATTAACCTGTGACTGTATATAAGAGCCACACTCGGACTAAATTGCGGGTAAAGAAATTCGAAATAGAAAATTCGAAAAAACGAAGGGGGGTTCAGTTTTGGTTGAGATCATATGTCTGTCAAGATTAGAGACGACACAACAACAACATATGCTAGAAAGAAAAAGATTGCTATCTGGAAGAAAAACTTGGGATTGTCTCTCATATTTGGCGATGTAACGGCCCTGTAAAAACACAAATTAACCCATCGATAAACTAGGAAAATATTAGTTCCCAGCATATATATTATTTAAATTTTGCGTAACAAGATTTGAAGTTAGAATCACAAAATGGCTAATATGATAATATCATGGAAAACATAGTATACAACATGTCTATTCTCACACAAGGAAATAGTTCTCACTTAATAATATAAATTTATCTGTATAATTTTGAATAAAAATTAAAACTTCCAAAGAAACTTACCTAGCAATGCGTTGTGAGAGCCGATTAAAGGGCATGCTCTGGATGAAGACAATGCCGGGACCCGTAATAACAGCAGTCGCCAAATTGTCGCCCTGGTGGGAAAACCATGAAAAAATTACAAAAAATTAAGAAAATACGTATATGCTGACCAATTGCTTGAGACCCGTTTCTTTTGGTTAAGGAAGAAGTAATGAGTATTCTCGGTTTGCCATATTGCACAGAAGTATAGCTATGGAAAATTCACTCTAACATGACCATAAAGCTATTGGATGGGAAATACTCAAATAAGTACTTCGAAAATTTTCAGGTTCAAAATGCAAGCAACAGATCTTCGATGAGAGCTAGCACTAAGCCTAGCGATTTAGTAATGAAAAACTTTCAGGTGCAACATACAAAATTGTTCAAAAAACTTAATCAGAACGCCAACAAAAAAACTTAACAAATACTTATTCAATATACTTGGAATGTTTTGCATAACATCTGCTTCACGTATCAACTGAGTGCATGTATAGATGTAGGGTTGCAATTGATTTGAGTGAAAATAATTGTAGGGTCAAGAATAAAACAGTGAATATATTCACGTACATATACTAAATCAAATCTCTTAAATTCCAGCAAGTTGACACGAAGAATCAAACTACAATAGTCCAAAAAAAGGATAAAACTGGTGACACACACAGACTTAGGGTGTGCTTGGATATAAAAAACCCAAACAATTTCCAATCACTTTTCACAAATCACTTTTTTTTTTAACTCAAAATTTACAAAAATTGAACTAAACCCCACTATCATCAATATTATCAATATACTTTAAATAATATCAATCAATCATCCTTACACATCCTAACTAAACCCCACTATCCATTCACTCACATAAATTTAACTACCCATCACTTCCAATCATCGGTCTCATACTTTTACATCAATCAGTTTTAATCATTGTATTTTAAATATTATTTTAATACAAACAAAAAATCTCACTCAAACTTAATTCAACCAACTTTTTCAAAATCAACTTTGGTTAACCAAAAAAACCAATCAAAACCAAAATATCCAAGCACACCCTTAGTGGCTCGCCAGCTTTTTTCATAATAATTAAAATCATCCTCAATTTTATCTTTCGCTCCAGAAATAGTTATATGTTTCTTCAAGTTTACTAGTACATATACTGCAATATATCATTCGGATTAAGCAAAGGGAATAATAAACTGCATCCACTACGTGTAAAACCACATCCAATAGGGAACAAATCTGCAAATAAACATAATGCGACTCTACGCAACACTAAAAACTTCAACAGGAACCGAAGGATGAAAGCATTTACAGAGAAAATGAATGAATCAAGTATTCAAGTTGAATGCTCACCCCAAAGACAACTCTTCGCATTGGACCATTATACTTGATTTGTACATTTAATGACGATGAAACTGCAACTATGCTAGAGACATCAACTGCAAGTACTTCCCCCACCTCAAGATTTTTCTGTACAACTAACATGCACCAGAGAGAACACAACAAGAACTTGATTAGGAAAGAAGTTGCTTAAACAAATATGCACGCTGTATCAATAAAGTCCTTCAAAATTATGATATAGACCTCTATAATCAATGTATTCTATTATGCTCAATAAAATACCTAAGAGAATATCACATTGTTCATAATAAATATTAACACAGATCTCTGATAGGATATGGGGGGTACTTCTGTGAATCTATTTACAAAACTGACAAACACAATTTTGTTCTTCAGGCATGCTCGTGCATCTAGACACAGATTATTGAAAAGGCTCTATCCTGATTTCCTACACCAAACAAACTTGATCATGTAAAAAGTAAACAAAAATCTATTCATTTTTCCGTGTTTACCTCTCAAATTATTAAATATTCTGCGATGTTTCTTACATAAAAGACAATCACTGATATAAAACTAAGAAACATTTATCAGCAAGATTAAAAAAAGAAGCACAGATGGGGGACTTACAATCAAATTCTTTAGCATCATAAAACCAAATATTCAAACACATGCTGGTTTAAAGACACTAATTTGACTAATTATTGAAAAATGTCTTAACTTCTAGACGTAAAGGAAACCACTATTAAAAATAATCTGTAAAGTGTAAACAGTTAGACTTTTTTTCCCTTGTGAAGTCTTTTGGTGAGATAGAGTCAATCACATTAATGCATAGTGCAAATAAGCGGGCTACAGTACAATAAAATCATAAATAATTTGCATAGCAGCACTGGATCCATGGAAATATACCAGAACCACCTCCGACAATAAATGCAAGACCCTGACCAGATATCTTCTGCCTCAAAAATCCCTGCAAGCACACCATCAACTAAAAATCAAGTAAGCCATATAATAACTAACGAGTTTAAAAGAGAGCAGAAACAGATGAACAAGAGTGCAGAAGATGGATGAATTTAAAAGGGTCTGACCTCAGCACTAGTCAAAACATTGCGAGCCCTCGGATCAACTGTATTATTTACTTTGACATCATTTATCGAGCAAAGAAATGCATCTGGCTACATTATTTTAGCAGAAGTCATACTCTACTCCCCCAGGTTAGTTAATCATAAACATGAATAAACCACGTAGAGCAAACTGAAACAAATTCTTAGTAACTTATCAGTACCTGGCACAACATTTCCTCCCCAAATAGTGCTAAATCAAGCTGCACGAGAAATCCAAATGGAAATATAGTTAAACTGGATATTAGAAATAAATACCAGACAAACCATAATTGTTTGTAAAATAACACACCGGGAGGATTTTTGCTAAAGTAGGAGCAGCAATCCCCACAAACCCATCACTAGAACCAGTATTGTGGAGAACTATGTTAGTAACACTCTTTCCGAAAAGCCACTGCCACACACCTGCCTCATTTTCAGGCACATAAACATTATCCATTTGTATGGACCCTGACATGTAGCACATGGAACCTGGAATACATCCATATAAAAGTGAATAACTCCTCCTGAGCTAGCTCTAATTCCAAACCAGAATACTAATTAAAACACACAGGATAACTGGAGAATATATGACTAGAGCTTACAGTCAAACGTGTATTGGTGGTAACGCATTAGTATATTTCAGCATTACACTGCTGACGTAATTCACAATTTTCCCACTACGCTGTTTGGCAAGGACATGGTTAAATTCTAAAAATATTTACAACTTCCATCAGAAAAGACAAGCATGTGTACATTAAAATATGTACAATATTAAATTTGATTAATATACTTGTTTGATTTATGTGACCACAAATAAAATAGTCATGGAATATAATAATTATAATAATAATAATAATAATAATAATAATAATAATAATAATAATAATAATAATAATAATAATTTAGAAGAGACACCTTTACCTTTTACTTCCCTAACAAAAGAAATGACGTGTATGGATTGTCATAAGCATAACTTTGTGGGACAGAGGGAGTAGTATTTATCTACTTGCAAGTTGCACACAAAGTTGTCTTGAACAAAATATGAAGAATGCGGTAACCATGCAATTAATATAAATCTAGGGAGTATTCATGATTTCCTTTCACGAATAGTTGAAGAGATTGTCAAATGTCAACTAATAAAATTCATTGAAGTTATTGACAGAGAGAATATTAAACAAAAGGACTTAATGACTAAATTTATTAGACTAAACCAGATTGCATGTAAAAGCATCCTTTAGTGTTGTTGTGGGGAAATGGGCGCAGACCAACAGAGACTGGGATGAAGAACAGGTTGAGCAGATGCACTGCTTTTCGAATTTGTTTTGGTCAATAATTAACAGTCAGGAGTTTCTGGTCAAGTTGTGTAAGAGTCCTCCAAGTCAAACTGTATGGCTTACATATAAAAAGTCGATAAAATGAAATGGAAAAGTGTTGCTTGAAAACCACATCCCCAGGCCCAACCAACACCTACTAAACCATCAAGGTCCAATACCTCACTAATAGGACGTATAGGAAGACTTTGATGGTCAAATGTTGGAACAGATGAATGACACCGTACCTCCAATCCTACTATTCTAACCACATACCATTAAGCAGGATAGAATTGACATCTTCAGAATACCAGTTTTATAATTGTTATGCAAATGGAACTACCTGGTGCTGAAGTTGAAGTTCAGATATTCTATAATATATAGTGAGCTTCAATGGATACATTATTCAATACTCGGTATACAAAATACGATCAACAATTCAACATATTAATAATTTCGAGCAATTAGGGTATTTCAAGAAATGCACAAATCTTTCACCACCAACCCTGCCAACCTCACTACATAATGGCGAGGACAACGCATTCTCTTCGAATTACATATTTATCAAGGAAAAAATGCTCACTGTCAACAGATTTATAGTTACTGAATCTAGTCTATTCAGGTTAGATAAGTATAGAATGATAATATCAGAATCAATTAATTAGCATACCAGGCTTTGCAATAACCATTTCCTGTGGCTTCAACATTATCTACATAGAAGAAAAGGAAGTAACAGTTTCAATTAGATCGCATGTCCCCAATTTACTGAAACAAAAGAGTCTTGTCTTGAATGTTAAATAAGCACCTGCACTATTTGAGCTTCCCCACCCAAAATCTGAAATGGTGTCACAGCATCTTGTGGACTCTGAAAATGAAAAAAAATAGCAAAATGAGCGTGAAGATGCCAAAAGGAAATTTGGTATTACAGAATTAGAAGCCTCTGAAACATAATATAAATATTAATAACGATATCAAGTAGCTAAAAGAAGATAAATCTGGCCTCCGAAAATTATACACTGAAGATTGTCTTCATTACACAACAGAAACAAATGAACTATTATGGTTTAACCTATACTTCCATTGCAAATATAAATGACGTGATATCTAAAATTCGTACAAAGTCATACCTATAAGCAATCTATTTCAGGGAACAGAAGAAAGTTCAGAAGCTACTGGGTAAACTGTGGACACTGTCCGGCAAAAGATATTAAAAGATGCACAAAAAATCTTAAAAGATTTAGAGAATCAGGTGGTAGAACATTTATGAGTAGAATGATCTTCAATTTCCTATTCCAAATCTCCGTTATCACTTATCACTTTGATGACTGGTGTTATCATGACAAAATATATTCATTTGGTTGACTAATCTAATCAAGCCAAATACAACTTATAACCAATACCAATTCCTGAGAGGAAAAATAAAAGGAAAATAAATAAAATAAAATGTGAGTTTATTTTTCATTTATATTGCCACCACATCTACTGTAGTCTAGTCCAGCCAAAAATCTAATTTGACTCGTGATTTTCAAACAATGGAAACCCACACATCCACCGATCTTTGAAGGTTCTGTACATTTAATGGATTAAATACATATATCTACCGATTCAAACTAGGGAATTACTAATTCAATGTGTCCAAGTGAGTATAACTTCACGACAGGGTGCAAAAGCATCCATATGAGCACCAACTGCACGCTGTGACATCTACTCTATTTTTTTTTCAACATCAACATCAACATACCCAGTATATTCCCAACAGTCTACTCTATTTTTTTTTTTTCCAAAACGACATATATATTAATAAACCAAAATATAAGGACTGGACAACAGCTAACACCGCTGAATCGAACAACTATAAAAGCCGAATCTAGGAGAACTACACGTGGGCAACCGTAAAGCCTAAAGCCTAGGAAAAAACTAAAACAACTACCGCGCTCCCAGAAGTCGAAAACTCCAATAATGGAGACTAACGAACTCGAAACACGGAGAATAGCCAACACAAACGAGATGCACTCCACATTTTACTTACACAAAACCTAAAACTTCCAAAAAGCCATTCAACACTCCCAATGACAAACAAGTCCAGAATCTATCATTTATCAACCTACCCTTTCTCGAAGATCATTAGTTCACCAAAACACATAATTCAACAACAGCCTCATAGAAACAGATAATCACTCACAACTATATATTCAACAACATCGTGTCAGCTCACAAGCTAAAACAGAACAAACAAGCCATATTCAAAATGATTCCAGTTTCTTATAATCCATTGAACATACACGAAACAACGATCACTGATACAGAAATCAAACAACAGAATGCAAATCCCTAATCGAGAATTAAAAAAAAAAACAATTCAGAAAATCGGAGTATGCAAAAAACACGTACAGATTCACAAACGTTCTACACACAACACGATAGACCAAGATCAAAAGCTTACCTGGTAAACAAAAGGTTGGAAAGGCGTTGAAAAGAACGGGGCGGCCATTATCAAGCAATCGGAGCTCAGAATTTTGCAGATCGATCAATCGAAGTTAATTAGTATTTTTGTTGTTCTTCAAACATTTTTGTTAAATAGTTTTTTTATTTATTAATGCCCCAGGGTTTTTGGTTTTTAAAATTTCGGTGAAGCTCAGCGTGGCATTACGTGGCATGATTTAATTGGCCAAAAAATCCTAAGTATACGTGTTCTGGCATAGGCGTTTTTGAAACATATGACCGTCCCAAATTGATTTTTTTTTTCTCGCATTATTTTTTTTTTTATTGGAAAGGAATAGAATTGAAATAAATACATAATTATTCAATTTTGATTCATTAAAAAAAAAGTTAAATTACTTATATATTTGTATAATAATCAGTTTACTAATACAACACCCGTGTATTACACGGGTGCTTGTTAAAAGATTATTTTTAAATTTTAAAATTAATGAGAAAATTATATTAAATTTAGTTTATTTTTTTTACAAAAAAAATATATTACTATATAATTTGGAATGATATGTGTTACTTATAACTTACATGTGTTATATTATATTAGTTTTTATAACTTATATCATATAACTACTTGAAATATAAATATATTAGTTGATAAATAATTTTATTTTTCTAATTAATATTAAAAGTAATTTTATTATTGTTATAAAGATAAATATAAATTATTTTTTTATACATACAATATGGATGTTAATCGAAGTTCATCAAAAGAAGATTAATTTGATATATCTATTAATCTATACTTATATTAAAGGCCATACCATTTACTTAAATTAGTATGTAGAAAAGTCAAAACAATTAATGCTTATCTATTTTTATCATTTGAATATTATATTTTATATTTATTTATTTCAAATCTAATCATTACTTAATGCTTTTAAATGCAGTTGAAACTTTTTTGGTGTTTGATTTTTAAATCCGTGCATTTGGGAATCTTCCAAACTATTTTCATAAAAAAATAGAAATCAGATTTCATTGTTGTTAAAAAAAAATCTCAAAAAAAATATAAATCTAATTTCTTAATTAGTTAATTTTTAAATCCGTGCATTTGGGAATCTTCCAAACTATTTTCGTAAAAAAAATATAAATTAGATTTCTTTGTTGTTAAAAATAAATCTCAAAAAAATATAAATCTAATTTCTTAATTTGTTAGAGATTACGATGCCTAATGGGTCAACATACAAATCCTCAGCAGAAAATAATACACGTGATTGTGAATTATTTTTCAGCGCGTAAATAGATGATGATTATCATTATTCAATATATTTATACAATCTTATATGATTTGTTACTACAGATAATTATCTCATTTGATTTACTTGCCATTCTCTCTCCATATTATCTCTACATATAATTCAATCACTTAATGTAATTACGAATACGAATTATAAATCTCTCAATCTCCCAATAGCGATTGCTCTCTCCTGCAAAAAAACCAAAAACAGATCAATTTCATCGATAAAAATGAATCAAGACTTTGGGTTGATCGAACAA